TATATCTTAGGGTCCGTGTGCGTTTACAGGTGTTTGTGCCAGTGTAAAATACAAGCTATGGAAATGCTGTCCATTGCAATCTAGATGACGTACTCTTAGCTCTTAAGCAATGGCAATGTGAACTCCTACTAATGGTTGCAACTTTCAACATTCATGTTACCTCATGCATTTTGTGGTGTGGACCCTATTCTGCATTAATACAACAATTTATGCAGCCTCATACACAGGCGATTAGATATGCTCATGAAGCAAAAATGTTTACATTCCTATAATATGCCATGTTATGCGGTGATTCAGATATATGCAAGGCCCAGATAAACTTAAAAATTGGCGCACAACGCGATCTTGTTTTACTTATTGGTTAGATTGGGGAAATTAGAAGCATTTCTTCCTTCTTCTTGCTTGTTGCTCAGCACATAAGTTCTACATCGGTGATGAAGAGGTGAAAAACAAAGGAAACAAGTTGAATGATGACTCGTCCGCAATTGTCCGATCATATCAAGTGCATTCTACTTTAACTAATAAAGATAACACGATCGTTCTTGTTTGAATTTTATGCTATTCGATGTAGTAAATAATGCTTTACCACATGCGTGCTTGCGTGTGCTTACATATCCACAACTCTTTACAGAACACCTATTTGTTTGATCACATACCTTCTTAAATTTTAACAAGCACGCACGAGAATGTTTCAAAATGTTATAATAATGCCGACGCAACGTTTTGCACAAGTATTAATAGACGGAAGAACGAGCATAGTCAATGATATCGCATGCCGCTAAAATATAAAATGGCTACATGTCTATGGATTAAAGTGTTTATCTACTTAAAACAATTTAATTCTGAACGGAATATCAATCCCTCTCAAAATCAAGTAAAGCATGTGTGCCGTAACCTCGTGTTTTTTATGAATGGATGTATGTATTATTATCGACTCAACGTCTCTTCGCTCAAAGATAACAAAGATTAATACTGAGCAGAGTGATGAGAAGGCTTTAAATTGAGTTACGAGTTCTGATTTACAAGATGTAGGGACTCTTATGTCATGATGACCACTGCTGTCGCTACTGCTTAAACGCGCGTTCAAATTAAGTCTCAACGCAACTTTTAAGCTAAGGAAGAAGAGGCGAGCAACAGCCCGATTTCTAGAATGGATATACAATTAGTCACAAGCATGGAGGGTTCCAAAAATCATGCAAATTACCCTTTTTTAGCTGCTAACTGTATACATGGCCATATTTGACACCGCATGCTTAACTAACTCATTAATAGCAGCTTAGATCTATCTGTTTCCAATGCCTGATTTTCCATTTTGGTACACCATCCTACATCTCAACTTACTACAGCAATATGCACGAAAATGTCATTTCTGCTCTACCATCTAACAAGCCATGTTCATCAGAAGAAAAGGAGATGGCTGTTGAAAAAGAGATTTCATTAAAGTACAGTATTGCAAGGAAACAGAAATGGTGAAGTTTATTATGAGTCCAGATACAGTTTGGGGTGCTATTCTTAGTGTTAGTTTTCCACACAGCATGAAAACCATCCTGTATTTTTCGGAAGATACCTTAATTTGCTGTACTACTAAAGACATGGCAGCCTTTTCGCTACCAAGTAAAAGCGTGCACGATATTTGCAATGCCCTACTCGAAGCTGCAGATGAACCTGGTGGCCTGTGCGAACAGCATAGCCACGTAACCGACAATGGAATGAAAGATCTTCGGGAGCTACTGGGTAAGTATGGTGATATATTCCTATTACAAGGGTCTAACCAGAAAGCATCAGACGTTGTTGTAATTATAGTCGACGCCGGCGAAGTTAGATTTGTTTCGCAGCCACTCAGATGCATACCACGCATTGCTGGAAGAGGTGTACCATCTGGTGAAAGAAATGACCAGAGGCAAATTAACAGAGCCACTACAGGCCCCATGGATCGTACCAATTCCTCTAGTAAAAGGACAAAAATCTGCGGTTGCGCGGTTGTCAAACTACCTACGCTGGTCAGCTTGATTCTTTATTCTAGAATTTAAATCGGTGTACTAGTTAGTGGAAATGGCCGAAGCAGACTAAAAGATGGTTAATTTCAACTCGTGGATCCTCAGAACTAATAGTCACATAAGTCATTAAAAAATGGCTCTTAAAGGAACTCTGTTAGATGCAATTTCCACGATCCTCACCGGTTGCTCGGAAGATTATAACGCTTGTTGATATCGATGAAAGTGATGGCAGTGGTGCTTTGTGTAGTTGGTAATGAGGGTGCTTGGACTTCTTATTCATTTACTTCTGTGTTGCACTCCACAACATCCTTCTCCTCCTGCAACGTTCTCAAGTCAAATTCATTTGATCAATTGGCCGAATCCACATCAGCCGAGGCTCCGCAGTAGTCAAGAGACTAATCAAGTGTGATGTTTGCAGAGCTGTGGCACGTTTATCAGTACGTTGTGTATGCGCACTTTTGCAGCAAAACCGAAATACAGGGCGGGTTTGAGTAGCAAATTAGCACTACCAAACGTATCGCTCAATGGCAAGCTGTAGGATCTGTCATGGCAGACAGTTTAAATATAAAACAAAGTGTAAATCTCTGCAATGGATAAAAGTGATGAACATTAATGCTCTGCTGCCATCATAAAGCAACTGTGTCAGCACGCATGTTTTCGAATCCTTTCTACTGCTTCAGCTCATTCCAGACCCCACCTGCAGAGTTTATCCCTCCAATGTATTGTTGAGAGGGAACGTGGGTACCTCGATCTGTTATCAGTTAGCTATTCGTTCGATGGCCAAACTTTGACTTACTCAACTGCCTTTGTTCATCCATCGTCCTTTTAAGCATCCCATGTACCTGTTTTACCACGGAAAATGGTGAGAATGCACAACTTCTCCTCTAGTCTATAGGCCAAAGCCACCCTGAGTGTGGACACCTGTGTATGCGTTGATATCTTTTGATTCTCTTGTTTACCCCATTGTCCAGGTTCATATTTTTCCTTACCAACAGCCAGATTAACTGCAGCACCACAGATACGGGTGGGAACGCATAATTTCTCTGTTAGTAGTTACAGGTTGGTCAAAGTCTACTGTGTCATTTGACCCTCCATTTTTTAGCATCCTCGACAAGACCTTATCCCCAACGAATCGCTCCTTACTCCATCCACTCTCCTTCTGAATTGATTTAGACAGTGAGTAGAAAGAGGAAATTAGGAGCGAAAATGACATGAACGAGTAGTCCTGAATATGCAAGAAATCATCCAGCGATAAAGAAAGACGTGAAGGGGAAGAAGTGTGATGAGAAGCACCAGGGAAGATGGAGGCAAACTCTAGTTTAAGTCACAGGAATATTGAGAAACTAGCCCGTCATCAACATTAAATTAGTTCTTCGTCAAGCAAACTCAAGGACAGGCAATGATTAACCCACCCATCTGGGAAGGGCTATTGTGGTGTGACACCTCTATATCTCATCACGGGCTAAAAAATTAGGATAATAGAATTTTTTACATGCCTAGAACTGCCTTGAGACGTAATCCTTGTGGCCAATTTTCTACGTAGCACCAAAGCAGTTCTGAATTTTGCAAAAGGAAACTTTTTCACCCATCATGGAACGGAGGCCTCAAAAGCCCTTTTTTTAAAAAAACAGACTCCGGTGATATTTGTAATCCCCATCCAAAGTTTCAGCTATACCCATGAACATCTTAAACAACCTCTGGGTGCGGTCTACTCTTCTTACCCACATCGATAGAAAAAGAACTCTCAGAGCTATTAGTTAAGTAGGGGAATACGTTTTCATAAAAGCATGTTAAGATGAAAGGAGCATACATTGCAAAAATATGATGGGCACCGGCGAGCCTTGACCGATCTGGTAGCCACTCAGACGTATGCCACTTCATCTACCAGAAGTAAACCCATTAGTTGGAGAGGCGAACAGAGAGTAAG